GGGGCAGTGGTACCATACTTAGTTAACAACATTCTCCTTTGTTCATTAGAAAGTTACATGGTATAGCATATCTTAAAATTCTCATATGAATATTTTAATAGTTAGACTTCCATCAATGTCAATCTAAGTAATAACTCTGGAATCACTTCCTTTCTGAATGTGTTGCCCTGGCAAACTGCACAGCTTGTCTGTTTTATGGGCTGTCTGGATTGAATAGTTGGCAATTTTGTCTTTTTTTTCTGTTAATCAGCCATGCAAATACAATGTTTAATGTTCACTGTACATCAGAAGTATAAAACATTTTATCTGGTATAGTACTGCTGATTGTGGAGTATAATTTTAAGGAGCTATCATATTGGAAGTCATCAGGAGTTGTGTATCTGTGCAGCTTTTCAAAGCTGTGAGATACATCTCCCTTTTAAACAAATATAGCCATCATCTGGGGTGTGCTTTCAGAATAATTTGTCCTGGAGATAATTTGTGGTTGAAAAGGCAATTTGTCATGTATAGTATACAATGTTATATAGTGTAGAGTGACCCTCTGTGTCTTCCAGTGGTAATGTCCTTCAAAAGTATATGGAAGAACTGGTGGCAAATTCCCCTTCTTGTGAGGATGAGTAATTAGAGTGGGAGTAGAGACACTGATCTAATTCAAAAATGCACTCATGGAAAGAGTTTCTGTGTTCTTCTTGAATGTAGCCAGACTTTGAAAGGTGTGTGGGCCTCTTTTCAATATGATAGCATTCCTGTTGTTTCAGTGCTGGGGTGTTAAATGCACCTAACCGATGGTGGAGTCAAACTAAGGGCAGAATCACAGCTCCTAACGCAGACCTGTCACTGTGCTGATAAGGGTGGATGTCAAGGAGTGGGCAGACACTACACACCTTCGCTGTGGTAGGTAGGAAAAGGCAAAGACAAGGCGCGGTATCCATCGCGTGTGGAGATTTGTCTTGCAGCACAGCTACAAAATGCTTTCTTGCAGCCCAGTCCAAATGCGAGTCTGGCAATGAATGCAGATGCTGTACGTATTTTATTTTGTTGTGTGATAAATGGCTAGTTTTCCTCAATGTTTGCATATCCCTCTTTTGTTCTCCAGAGACACTCCCTCTCCTGTGATTTTTCTCTTTAGGTTGCCTTTCCAGAGATGTGCCATGATGATCTTGAGCTTTATCACAGTCCTTACTCCTACATTTATAATTTCCAGCTGTGGCCCTGATCCTGCAATATGTATAAGGTGATACTTTGCAGGCATCACTGGGAACCCTCAGGAGTGGGTCAGGACTTCGTTTTTATAGCAAGCAATAGTAATTCAGCTTTCTCAGACTTTGAAGTGCAGGTTGCAGTTGCTTTGGAAATTTTTATGGATATATTTCATCTTGGAGCTGTGCCACCAATGTCTATCTGTTGCTTTGTGATATTGTTCTGACTCCTGAGATATGTTCTTGCTGAAATATTTCCAGAATAAAACTTGTGCTATCACAGCTATATTTGGACTAATAGTAGAATAAGTTATGGTTTATCAGATCAGCTTTCAAGACTTGCACTCCAGCAGGGACCTGAGTTTCCAGAGAAGGGAAAGTTTATGCAGGTCTGTTACAGTATTTCTCATCTCTTCTGCCCAGTCCTCCTTTGCTTTAACCTAAAACTACCATGTTCTGCCTCCCAGCACAGCGGCTTCTGCCTCTCTTCTCTTTCAACTTACATAAAAGGAATTGCTTTTATGTGTCCCATTCTGATTTAGTCTACCAAGTATTAGTTTAATCATTGGTTTTGATAAATATTTATGTTTTGGTAGTGCTGGAATGCCAGCAACCAATACTTAAGTGTTGTTTTTTGTGAATTCTGTCTCTGTTCTCAATTAGGTGGTCTGAATAGGCAAATTGGGCAAAGGTTTGTGAAGAGATGAGGGGCAAGAGGGGTGTAAGGCCTTAACAGGTCCACAAGTATAGCAAATGTCCAAATAGCTATGATAGATATCTAACTTGATTTACTTTTTATTTGTAGAGAATTAAGGGAGAAGAGAAAGCAAATGCTGATACTTTATAGGTGGAAAGGCAAAAAATGAGGAGTATTGCATTTAAAAAAAATAAGATTTTGCTTGTTTGTTTGTTTTCTCTTATTCCTCTGCTCCTATGACAGTTTGCCACTGACTTCCATGGGACCATAAAGAGAATTCTGATCTATCTTCTTGGTATACAGTGACATCTACAGAGAGTAAAGCACTTTAGTGCATTAGTTTAAACTTACTACTCTATTTTATGCTTTCTGGTGCACATACAGCATTATTTATCTTTGTAAATTCCCATGGAGATCTATGTATTTTTTTTCAAAAAAAGTTACTTCGCCCTAACAGAAGTTATTTTGACAGTTGGAAATGCAATAGCAGTTTACACACCCATTAATTTCTCTTGATGGGTAGAATGTCTAGTCTTATGGTATAATGTCCTGGAAGATTTCAGCTTTTTTGAGGTAAAGTTTCTTTTGAAACTGTGTTTTTCACATCAAGAAGTGGTGTTTTTGATGCTTTCAGACTGAGTGCTTATTCTGAATACAAATAGCTTTATTATTAGATGTGTTGTTGTAATGTTTTAAGTTATTTTAAGAAAATACTAAAGTGTAAATTCAATTTAATTAAAAAATCCAAATTAATAAATCAATAAAGGTACACATAGGATTTTTTTGCAGGATTTGTTCTTTTTTAGACAAAATCCCTAATTCTGTTCCATGCAAATTTTTTGCGTGGTTTTCTTTCAGTGATTTTTTTTCTCTCCTTATTATATATTCTCCTTTTTTTTTTTTTTAACTTTCTGCAAGCTTATTAGGAAGAAAAAGTAGCTAGCTTCTGCAGTATGATTTTATTGATGTTTTATCCTTTATTTGTCTGGATGAGACAAAACAGAATCCAACCTAGCATGTATTAACAGAGCATTGCCTGTTGATACTGTTTTCTTAGGACTTGAGCGTGTGTTTTAACCTCATGTACTGCACGTAGTCTCAGTAAGTTCAAGACAACCATTTAATGCAAAAAGTTAAATGTCCATGTAAATCTTTGTAAACATAACCCTTAGGTTATTTGGGCTCTAAGGCCACATTTTACAAAGGACTTTGTAATAAATAACTTTGTAAAAGAAGCTTAAAGTGAGGGGAAAACTAAAATTTCCACTCCCAAATATGAAAAAACAAGGAAAAAATATTTTTATCTCTGCTGTCTTTAAAAATGTAGTTATTAAGTATGTGTAAGAATGTAGAACCTCACAGCATTTTTTTTTTATTTTTCATATTCATGCTTTATACGTAAAGGTCTTAATTTTGGTAAGGTATTTGATCATTTGGAGGTAATTTTTCTTTGTTCTTGGATAGCATTAAATGTATGAAAACAAAGTTTAAAATTACTAAATCAATGTGCATAAATGCAGCAGGAGTTGTTCGGTCTTGATTTTCTCCCCTGCCAGGTCAGATACTATAATAGTATAAACTGCAAACCAGATCCAGGCCTCATTAAACTAATACAGCAGAATGATAATCAGAAAATTGCCAAGTAATGAACAAAACCCAGAAGTTTTAAAACTTATTAAATGATTGTGGCTGATGAGCAGGTTTTATAGCCAAGGCTTTCATGTCTGAAAAATGACCCTGATAGTTTGCCAGCTGACATTGGTGGATAAGTTGTGTTAAACGCAATTTTTGTAGAAGAAGGAACACAAAGTAAAATAATAACTCAGTGGAGCAGGAGGGAACACTTAAAATGCACGTAGTAAAAATCTACTCATATGTATAAAAGTCTTTGGCAAAAAGCATTAAACCCTTTGGAGAAATAAATGGGTAGAATAGTCTCTGTAAAATATAAACAAACAATAAAATGTACGTAAGCAGTGAATGCTAGGAGAACACATATGATTTTCTAGGTTTTCAAAGACTCCTATGCTCCAATAAAAGATAGTGTGTAATAGATGCAATATGTCCGTTCTGTAAGAAGAAACAGAATAATTAAAAGAAAAAAAAGTTGATATGCTAGTGGAAATGTTTTAGCATTCAAAGGCTGTCAGCGTTTTTCCTCTTGTAGAAATCTGTTACGTGTCCAAACTCTGGATTTCCTTTCTTTTTCTTACAGTCAGAGATGTTTAGTTGGGGTTGAAGGGAGTAAGAAAAAAAGAAAAATACAAAATATTTTTGTGCTCCATATAGTTTCATAAATAACTGAGCAAACTTCCATTTGCACAGTGGTTTCAAGTATGACTTTTCTAACATGAAGTATAATCACAGGAATCTTTCAGATGCTGCACAGTTATTGCTGGAAGAGGCATCTGGAAAATGTTTTCCATTAGCTGTGTTTTTTTGGCAGAAGCTGTAAGCAAGCACGGTCAGTGTAATTAAACTGACAAGTGCTTGAGATACTGAGTTTGTTTGCTGTATGTACTTTCCTTCAATAAATATTAGTGAAATCTAAATCTTCTAAATCTTCTACTCTAGCTGGTGACCCTGACAACATCTAAATGTTAGTGTAGCATGTAACATGGCAGCATTGGGGGCAGCATTTATGGCAAATTTTTAGAAGCTTTCTTAGCAAATACCCATTTGAAAGACCACATGCAATAGGTGAGCAGCAGTAGATTTCTTTAGGAAAAGCTCAATCTGATAGAGAAGGCAAAATACCTGAGTCCAGCAGATTTCTCTTTGTGAGCTGTAGAAACCGTTTGCCAGAGAAAATCAACCCTAAACTTCCAATGTTTTCAAAACTTTGTAGGCTTTTGGTGTGAATCCTTACTCTCTTTCTGAGAAATGTCAGAATAAGGCCTATGAACTTCTAAATTTAGCCCCTCAGGGGACCTATGGGGTTGAGCCAACTGTACTGCAGATTTGGGATAAATGCTGAACAGTGAGTGCTCTCTTGATCAGGTGGTCTCTCACCAGAGTTAAGTCTGAGCAGTAACTTTATAGCTTACTTTATTTGGTTTCAAGCTTGCATTGCTTTTTGTAACTTCATGTACCTCTTCATCTAGGCACCTCTTTATGTTGTAAACCACGGTGAGACAGGACCAATCCGATGCAACAGGTGCAAAGCTTATATGTGTCCCTTCATGCAGTTTATTGAAGGTGGAAGAAGATTCCAGTGTGGATTTTGCAGTTGTGTAAATGATGGTAAGTGGTGTTTCTCTGACCTGTGATTCATACCAATTCCATAAAACTAAAAAGAAACTTTATCCCTAAAATTATTTTCTTGACTTGCTGACTTGATGAGAAAATAGTTTAGTGAGATGCAGTAACTAGACCTATTTCACAAATTAAAAAAAAACCGACCTACCCAGGAAAAAGACATAGAAACATTTGTTCAGTACAATTTAAAAAAATAAATGGTGACTTACAAAGTCCAGTCTCCTATGATCAAAACTGTATTTAAAAATGTTATGTCTACATAGGATACAAAGCAGCTTGCACTGCTAACCAGAAGCAACTTTTGTGTGGGGAAAAAATTGATTTCTTTAAAAGGTCTAAATGTCCAGCAAGAACCAAATATTTAGAACCACGTTAGCCTAGTCCTGTCCATGACTGTGGATGCAATGGTTAAATAACCTATTAATCTTCCTGTGACAAGTGTTGGTTTTCACAGAAGATACCATGCCATATTTGTTCAAGTGTGCTGCATGTGACTCATAACTGTTCTTGTGCTCTTGGCTAAATCCCAAACCTTTGCCTGAACAAGCCTTTCTAGACATTTGTAGCAAGTTGGATTTCCTCGGCACAGATCACAGCAGTATAGTGCTTTCCCTAATACAGTAATCTTTTTCAACTCTGAAATGTGAACCCTGACAGACTCATTCCAGCTTCTTTTCTGCCTGATTGTCAAATGTTTCTACAAGCAGAGCGAATAACAATTTTCATAGTTTGTTCGCAATTTAAACTCTCATCTAGAGAAATTTTAAATATAAATGCATTGTGAACATTTTAAGAAAGACATTTAATTTGCAGTGTCATTTTAAATCATGTTTTGTATTACTACAGTCTTTTATCCAAGTCAGAAAGCTTTAAAAAAAACCAAACCAGAGAACTTTAATGAGGACTAAAAATGGCCAGCAAGTTAGGTAGATATTCCTCCGAGTTCCTGTCTCTCCCACTTTTTACAGGAAAAAATGTGAAAAATAAGCATTCTAAACATTATATTGATTGAGGAAAGATGAGCTGAAATCCAAAGGTGGACTCTAACCATCAGATTAGCAGCACATAAGTTGCTGGTGGCAAACCCACTTGATTTCCACTTAAATTTGAGAAGAAACTTCTTCTCAGTGAGGGTGACAGAGCACTGGAACAGGCTGCCCAGAGAGGTTGTGGAGTCTCCTTCTCTGGAGACATTCAAAACCCACCTGGACGCCTTCCTGTGCAACCTCATCTAGGCGTTCCTGCTCCGGCAGGGGGATTGGACTGGATGATCTTTTGAGGTCCCTTCCAATCCCTAACGTTCTGTGATTCTGTGATTCTGTGATTTCGTAATGCTTTGGAGTTCTGCACCTTTTGTCTGTAGCTGCAGAAGGTTCCCAGTATAATGGACTCAATGCTCTTTGCTGTACAGCAGACCAGGGCTGTGAACTTTGTAGAGCTATTTCCACTGAATGGTGGTTTTGGATAAAGCAGTACAGGTTTTAGGAGAAGTGCTGGTTTTACTGCTGTCCCTCTGCAGAGCTGAGGTGATTTGAATTAAGCTGTGAGCAGGCTGTATCTATGAATAAAAAAGCCACTCTTAAGTCTATATCCTGAAGGTAGCAAACTCCTGCCTGTGGAAATGACATGAGTCAGCCTGACAGTCTATAGGTGGGAGAAAATGGACATTTATGAGGGGACATCCCCTATCCTCCAAGTACCAAAGGAGCTAGCATTACTAGAATGTGGTGGGGTTTTGTTTGGGGTTTTTTTATAGCTAATGTGGGGGGAAAGAAGCATTGCAACCTGGCTAAGTGTTTAAACTCTTCCCTTGATCAGTAACAAAGGTGCCTATGTTAGTACAATATGTGTGTTTAAAGGAGTTGCTGGGTTGTTCCCATCCTCCCTGAGATATAAATGTTTTTTCTGCTCTTGTGTTGGCTTTTAGTCCCTCCATTCTTCTTTCAACATCTGGACCACATTGGCCGACGGGTAGATCACTATGAAAGGCCTGAGCTCTCTCTGGGATCTTATGAATATGTTGCTACGTTGGATTATTGCCGAGTGAGTATTTCCAGGATGCAAACTAATTTACAATTTTTTGTCAAAATAAACAAAAATCCTTTAAATACCTACAGTAGAGTAAAAACACTTGTAAGATGTATATCAGAGTTCAAGAACATTCTAGAAAATGTAGATGAATGTGGAGAATTTAAGCTTATAATACTATGTTTTGTTCTTTTGTGCTGCAGAGTATGAGAGTAGGAAGTAAGAATAACAAATAGTGCAGTAAAGTCATGGATCACCAGTCTTCAACTGGGGCGCTCCTTTGGTCCTAGCTAGCATGTTGCACTGTTTAGAGTTTATTTAGTGGAATTTATTTATTATTTAGTTGAATTTTATTTATCATGAGTTGAATTTTGTTGAAATTCTGACAGTGTTACATTTTAGCTGCATGTCTCTTACTAATTTTGAAGACAGACAGACGCCCTAAATTGCCTTCCCAGTACTGAAAATCTTCGTAAGGGAATTTGACATTGCAATCTTTTCCTGGCAAGTGCAGTTTTAGTATTCTGACCAATAAATAAGTTACAGTGGAAATGAGTTCTTTCTCCTAATATTAACTCACTGGAGAACTTAATCCAAAGCCCACTCAAGCCACTGTATTTGTAGTTGTTTTTATTAGAGAATTGCATTTGGTATGTCTGAAAGCATAAATCAATTAAACTTTTCAAACTTTAGATCCTTTTGCAAAACTGCAAGTGTGACTTCATCTGTCCACAGTGGGGACATATTTTTCTGGTTTTGCTGAAATCAGGCAGAATTTTCTTTCTGTCAGTGGAAATGAGGTCATGGTAAGGTTAGGAAAGACAATCGGATCCTACAAAGTCTTGAATTAGATACCAGTAACTTCTTCAGACATTATTGCTGGTACAAAGAAAATGAACAGGTTTAATTCTGCTTTCTTACTGGGGTGCTGCTCCAAAATCCAGTGAAATTCCTGAGACCACCTATATCAATTTTACTGAAATCTGGGTTAAACCCCAGGACAGGAGAGAACTGTAGTGAGACATTACAGAAATACAGTGCGGGATCCTTAGTCAGTGTACGTCCAGTGTAGCTCCACCAAATGTGGGTAAGCTTTGCTGATTTTGGGCTGCTAAACTTTTGAAAGCTTATGTGTACTGAATGGCTCTGTGCCATTTTCACAGCTCTTTTTCTCTACTCAAGTGTAACCCCGTATGATGCAGTTATTCTCACAATGCAGCTTTCAGTGCAGCAGCATTTGCCAGAGCTTAAATCAGGGCGTTTCCTTGAGAAGTCATCCAGCATGGTTGGTCTGTCTTGTTGCGAAGACCCAGCCATAGACTTACTAGAATGTTACAAAAAAGAGAACTTGAAAAATTAGCGCTTACTCTGGAAATGCTGAGTCATTAAATTTTAGAGAAGTTACCATTGTTGTTTTTCATTTTGCTCCAAGTTACAAAATTTTAATTCTTTTATAAATCCAGTTTAAGACCAGAACTGAAAAGTCATTTCCTTTTGTGCTTATCAAATGACAAGGATGAACAGCTACAAAAAATGTTAACAAATAACAGCTGTTTTCCATTATTACTCTCCTGCTAAGCGGATGTGGCAAGAGCACAAGTCCTCATTTCTACCATGTATTTGTCAGGAATTCTGCAGGGATTCTTTATCAGTCGTGATGCGATATGAGTTTAGAAGTAGTGTTTGATACAGTTTTTGAAACTAGATTCCAAATACAGTAAACAGAACAGCTTTTAAAAATACTGCTTGGTTTTAGTTGACAGGAGTTAATCCTGATTTATGTGATTCAAATGGAGTGAGATCAAGGGTATAAAGTTTAGTTTCAAGTGTGCCAGGGACTATGGACAAGTCATAATTCAAGGGTTAGATTTTTTTTTTGTAAATGGGAGTTTTCTGAGGTTTATTTTAAGTATAATTTGGTAAGTGATCACAGCTCTATACATGAAGGCTGCGAAACAGTAGAATGAAAAAGCTGTCCTGAATTTGACATCAATTAATGACCATTACTCATCTTAATGAGAATTAGGAAAACTGATCTTAGGGAGTATGATGATTACTGTTGCTATGTTCACTTTGTATGACCTTCCTATGGACATCTCTAAGCACTGCATTGCTTTATCTGAAAACAAAAATCCTTCATATTACTCTTTCTTACAGAAACTTGTGTCAGTAATGTATCTCACGATTTGTATGCCACTGACATTGACTATGGCTTAAAAAATTATGCTCAAATGAATCTATGCCAGCCCAAGTCACTGCTGTATATGCACCAGTTACGTACATTGAATTTTCCACTGTCGTTCTTTGATTATCTTACAGAAAGCCATCTTATTCTTGAAAGTACAGTTCAGCTGTCCAGAATGGACTGGAGCATGAGGTAGCAAGACAGACAGACAGGATGCAGATGATGACCATTTAGTACTGCTAAGAACTAAGATATTTTAATTCTGGTTCAGTACTTAAGTTGTATTTTCTGTTTCCAGATTGGTTACAAATCACTTAACAGTTGTTAGAGGCAAATGCTAACAAAAACTGAATTTAAGCATTTATACTAACAAAATGGTATTGCATACTGATATAGGGAATGCGAAAACTATATGGATAGAGAAAAAAAGCCAAAAGGCAAATTGGTTTAAACGCTTGAATTCCAACAGAAAATATTTGTGTTTCATCTTATCTAATAAACTATTACCCTTTACATATTTTATGCCATTATGATGCTATTTTCCAGTAAGAATTTTATTCCAGCGATGGACTTTACCCAGTACGTGTCAGCTTTCTGCAATAAATGCTATTTGTGATCCATTGCATTTTTCAAACAACTGAACGCTGTATTTACATTGTCTTATACTACCACCTGTACATTTTTTCAACGTAACAAGACACTGTCTAATTTTTCCTGTGAATGGTCATTTTTTCTGTAGAACAACAAGCCTCCAAATCCACCAGCTTATATCTTCATGATAGATGTATCGTACAGAAACATAAACAGTGGCCTAGTCAAACTCATATGTGATGAACTGAAGACTCTGCTAGATAAGCTTCCAAGGTAAAGAAACATAAGTATGCTGTGCTTATCTTGCTACACTGCAGTTTTCAGGCAGCTTTGCATGTTGAGAAGTAAAAAGAAGCTACATAAAATGTCAAAATTTACAATGCAGGCATTTTTGGGGTAACAGTGACCAAATGTTAATTTTGACACCACTGGCAGTTCTTAAACTTTGATGTCTGGCCTTACTATATGAATGGAAAGAACCTGTCACCAATTGCACATGTAGCATGCATTCTTTTCCTTTCTTGTAGTGAACTCTAGTGGTGTTATCAGCTAAGTCCTGGCTTGCAGTTCTGAGTTAACTTGCTGAAGTTCTGTTTACTCAATGCTGCTTTTCTTATTAAATCAAAGCCAAAATACTTGAGAACAGCAAGTCTCTCTAAAGCCATAGTGGTGGTGGCTTGTATCTTTAGCTTTTACTGTTAATTAGCAGAACTTTTAGAGCTGCTTGCTGTGCTGTAAGACTTTCTGTCCTGGTATCTATCTGAGAGAAGAACAGATCTTGTAGGCAGCAAACATTTTATGAAATACAGCACATTTGCTTTCTGAGCGTTAAACACACCGTAGTAATATTACTGCTGATCAATATTTATGACAATATATTACTTTAGTGCAGTTTAATATAATTTTTAGTACAGGATGTTAATATAGTTTCCGTTCAAGTTTAAATAATGCAGACACGCGTATTTAAATGAGAGCAGTGAAAGTCAGACCAAGAAATGAAGTAGACAAGACATTTCTCAGCGAAGGCACATACAACACTGGAGAACTTGCCTTCCAAATAACAGTACTTGCAGAGGAAGAGCAGACTTAAGAAATGGAGGGACCAAAGTAAGGAAGGGTGGGAGATAATCTGGGTTATGTTAAAAATCTTTTATCACATGTCCTTCTGGGATCTCTGTGCATGAAAGAAATTCCAGCCCAGGGTGGGGGGTTAGTTTGTCAAATGCCCATGTATGGCCATCTCTCAAGTACTTTGTCATTGAAGATTACACGGGAGACACAAGTGTTTGATATTATCCTGAACATATCTCAGAGCTTTCCATCAGGATTGATCATGACTCTGAAGATGATAAAAGGCATGAGTGTAGTAACAAAAAGCAGTTGGCACTTTACAAACACCTAGGCTTGAAAGTTGAGGAAAAATGAAAGCAACTGTATCTGCATCACAAAAAAGACACCTTGATTCTTTTCCTCACCAGCACTCTGCAGAAATCTGCTGCTAAATAGTTAGTTTGCAGGGATGGTTTTCATGGCCACTGGAAAAAACCACCAAAAAAACCCAAACAAAAAAACCCACATAAAAAATAAAGAAAAGACAGGCCCTTCAGTTTCTTCAAAGGCTTGTCTGTTGTCTTTAAATGATATTAATTAAAAAAAAAGAAGGCATTCCACCACAGTCTCTGGTGAGGCTTTTGTTTTGGTGCTGAGACACTAAGGTCACTGTGTGTTCATTTTTTGTTGCTGGAGAAAGACACCTGCAAAATTATTCTGCTGTTATCACATGAGGTGAAAGCCCCATGCTGGGAATTCACCCTGTGCTCAGATCCTTCAGAGGAAAGATGTGGGATAGCAAAGCAATCTGTGTAATCAAAAGGGCATTGGAATAAACACCTGTGCCAGTTAAGCCTGTGAAAATGGCTGTGAAGTGAGAAGTTAGAGGTAGCAAAGAAAGAATTAAGGTAGGTGGCTCAAAACCTGGTGTTAAGAGCTTTGTGGTTTTTTTTGTAGACTTGCAGCACACTAGAAAAAATATTATTTGCTTGCTTGAAATTTTAGGGCAGTCATTTCCGAACTTAGGTGTTCCAAACCAGAAACTCCTGACTGTACTTAAAGATATACAAAGAAATGTGTTCATAGAAATTGTGCTTATGAGCTCAGAAAATCAGGCTAACTAGTTGTGCAAGTAGGATTTTTAGGTGCATAATTTAAAAAAAAAAAAAGAATGCATTTCTGTACAGAAGATCCAGACATCTCATTCTGAGACTTTAAAAAGAACTAAATAGTGTGTGAGCTACACAAGCAATTGGCTGCTACAGACTGCCACAGGTAAGAGCAGTATCTGAAAAAGTTGTCCCAAATACCTGCTGTGTGACAACTTTGGGGCTGCTGGGGTGATGTGGGTATTTCTCTTTGAAGTAGGAAAGTGTGTAGCAAGTTACTTAACACCCTGTCTTCATCAGGCTCCTGAATATTCCCTGTTAATTATGTTACTAAAAACATCGTAGTGTCCAAGTGCTGGCTATGATTAGAAGTTTACGTTCAGAAATTATGCGTGTTGGAGTTACAGTATTTTGGAGGAATTATTTAAAATGCTGCTTTATGGAGTTTGTTCAATATAGATTGATTGATTTGTTTTAGATCCACGTAGCCCCTTTCTCATCTAGCTGTGTTCCCATAAAACAGAAGTGGTGGATTAACATTGTGGACTGACGTTAAAGATCATAGGCAAGAAAACCTTTTTCCCTCCCAAGCTCAAGGTTTTAGATGAAACTTTTGAACTGCCAATGACATTTTTATTTTCTCTGAAGACAAACAGATTGGATAGCCAGGAAAAAGGTTGACAGTGTTTTCTATTTGCTGTAAGAAAAAATAAACAAGAATTGCAGTAAAAGTGTGTGTATGTTGTTCTCCTCTTTAGCCTGATTTTTGACTCTGCTAGCATTTGTGAACTGGTGAATGCAGTCTGACTGCAGTGGAATGGCACGGAGGCCTTGCCATTGATTTTGGTGGAGCCAAGGCTTTATGCTCCTTAGAGGTATATTTTCAAAATAAAGCAGCCACCTGGCTGCTTTACTGTGGTGAAGGCTCAGGATGCCTGTTAACACTCCCTTGTTTCTTCAGAGATCAGAGTGAAGGATACATAGTAGAATTTTTTTTGTTATTTTTTTTTTTGCCCTAAAAGTGCCTAGTAATTGGAAATACTGTGCTAGGGCTCTGTTATTAAATTATTTTGCTGTGGTAGTAACATCTGTATGAATGAGTCTATGCACATTCTGGTGTCCTGTTTGTCCATTAGCATATTTCTTTGTGTGAAATTTTTTACGGTTGTAACCTTCTGTGAGTGACTTCTTTTATAATCTAAAGAAAATAAATCAGCTCGGGTATTTCTGTGGTTCCTATTGCTGCAGACTCAAAGAACTTTGTGGTACATAGTTCTGCCTCCTGGTGAGATTAAGCAATAATTCTTGCTGTTCTCCTTTTAAAAATGGAAACTGAGGCACAGAGAAATCAAATAATTCCTCTCAGATCATAAATGAAATCAGAGGCATAACTGGGAATTGAATGAGGATTTCCAAGTTTCAGTTCTTTGAATATGAAACTCCTGCCTCTCAAACATGAAAAAAGCATTAGACTACAGTCTCAGTGTTTGCTGGTTTTGTGACATCTCACCGTAAGTTAAGTAGGCAGCTTTAAACATTTATGTTGCTGTACAGAGCCTATGGGCTGACCTGTATAGCTGCAGGTACCACAGCTTGCTTTATCTGGTGTTTTTTTGTAAATTTGTGAGAGTAACTCACTCCTGCAATGAGAAGGTGCTATTTTATTAGTAATTAAGACCAATTTTTTGAATAAGATCACCTTTTACAGAAAAGTTCACTGAATTTAGAACTGCAAACTTGGTAAGAGCCTAACCAGTACTGTTAGTAATGCTCCTACTTAATGGCGCAGTGGGCTACCGCTCAGCAACCGAGGCCGAGCCTCTGCTGCCTGCAGTGTGCTTGCAGGTGTAGCTCTCGGCAGCAGTTTGCTCGCTTTGCTTGGCCTGGGAGCTTACCAGCAATAATGAGCCATTTCTGCAGTGCTTTTTCCGCATGATGCACAGTTATGGAGGATCTAAGAGCTTTTGCTGCTTAAAAGCAA